GGGAACACCACTAGTGACCGGCGCCAAGTGGATGTCCTTTTAATGGTAGTCAGAAGGCAACATAAACATCTCACACAAATATCTGCCTGATTCTGTCTGTAAAGTTCCAGTGTCAGTGGCTTCCTTGTTCCTGAAGGTGAAATTTCAGATGAATGAAGCTGACTGAATTTCCTGAGAAAGAGTTGGCATTTTCATGGCTTCTCTTGCTGTAGCTCTGATGCTCATCTGACCTCTCAGTGAGCTGATTAATCTTCTAACCTAGAAAACCACAAACAGATCTAAAAGCTGGATGAATTTTGTTTGTTTCCAGCTTTATTTTAAGGAGCTGAATCAACTCATTGGGAGGTCAAATGAGCAGCAGAGCTGGTGAAAGGAAGGGGAGGGGAGGGTTCCACGGGGCTGGGAGGAAATGTGAGAGGCTCTTGAAGATCAAGAAGCTGTTGGGTCAAAGATTAAGCTTTCTGACCCTTTCCTTGTGAAGAGCTTTCCCAAGTAGAGATTTTTATTTTTTTTTCAGAAAATAATATTTAAGTACTAGAGGTGCCTTTTTCTATCCTTGTTCAAAAATAAAAGAGGGATATTCTTGCACCAAATATGGTACTTAGGTTTCTGAAATGTAGTTTGCTGAGACCAGTAGAGGCTGTTGGAGTGTGACACTAACATTTTTTGGGCTCATGAAGGAAAGCTGCAGGTGCTCCTGCTGCACTTGCCCTTCCTGGGTCTGGAGTGTTGCTGTCACTGTTCCTCCTCAGGACCAGCTGCTGTGCCATGTGGCACCTGCACATGACACTCAGAGATTTTCTGATATGCTCCTGCTGTTTCCTTGATGTCACTCGAACATCATGGAAGAAAAAAAGAAAGAGCTTTGTTTCCAGTCTGTAGTGAAGCTGGTTGGAGAGAATAGAAGCAGATTATCTGGAGGAAAGAGCTTAGGTAGTTAATGACAAAATAATCCCCAACTGAAAAGTAAGAGTCCTCAAGCACCTGGAACCAAATCCAGCAGTCCAGGAGACTGTCAGAGTTCTGCCTGGACACACTGTGCTAGGCGCACCTTTTGTGTGGGGCTGAGCACAGTCAGCCAAGCACTGGCTTTGGTGGCACTGTTGGAAGGAGTTCTTGTCCTCCTACAGCTGCTCTGGTTGCTGCCAATCAGTTATGCTATTGCACTCCTGACGTGGTTTAATATAAACATTGACCAGCATTTGAACAGAAATAATTCTGGGGTTTTATTTCTTGTCTGACCTGCTGTGTCATACAGGCACTGCTGAAGGAGGAGTGACCTGCAGTGTGCAGGTAAGATGAGCAAGAGGCAGTAGGAATGACTTGGATCAACTTTGTCACTGAAAAGTGTTAATGCAGTGAAATTTTAACACCTTGTACAATGAGCCAGGTAATCTTTGGAGGGTTTTTTTTACACCTTAGTGTTTTGTGCTTTCAAATGATCTGTGTAAATGTCTTTAAATGGTTCTGCAAAACAGTTCTGGTTTTGTTTCTTGGTATCCTGGTTTGTTTTGTTTCTGCCTGTTGTGTTTGTAGGCTATTAAACTGAAAGTCGAGCACTTGAATTAGGAAACACCAGGATTATAGCTGCCTTTGCAGGATTAATTTGGTGCGTTGCCATGTGTGTACATTGCAGCCTTGGTCAGTGTTAAAGTGACAGGGTTACGCTGCACCAAAGCTCTGCCTCCCTCTCTGCACACAGGAGACTGCTCTGAGCATAAAAGGGAGGGATGCTTCCCCCATGGAATGAATTAAAGGTGTTCTAGGAACAAAAAGGAGGATGTGGACAGAAGGATGAGTAACACTCAGGTTCTGCTTCAGAAGTGTAGATTTTACACAGTCTCTGCTGGTTCCACTGCATTACTGTGTTAGGATGGACAAAGGGACACATAGTCATTACACAGTTTATTCCGTAAGTCTTGCACAAAACACAAGGACTGGGCAAAGCAGATTAAAATGAAAGACGCGAAAATACTTTGAAACATTTGACTAAGATTCCTTTCCCACTGTGTCCTTGAAGGACATTATGCAGCAACATCTATTGGGTGTCTCTATACCACTGGTTTAGTGCAAATTTCCTAGCACACTGTTGATCTGTAACCTCCATATACCTTCTGCAATTGCATCCCAGATGAATCACTTAAGTTTGCAAAGCCCAGTTCTTCCAGGTGAAGCTAAAGCGAAAAAAAATGCCTGCCTGAAACACTTGCTGTAATAACACTCCAAGTGTTAATGTGTGCTCAGAGCATGAAACTGTATCAGGGCTGGTCAGACTCTTTAAACTGCAGTGGCACCCAAAGGAGGCAGGTAACACAGCACCATCCACACACACACACAGGGAGTATTTTTAAGCAAAACATAGAAATCAAACCAAACCAGATTGGTCTCTTAAATTAAGACTGACTACACTTCTTTTTTTAGATGGAGCTGTAGGGGGATTATGCATTATAACTATCTAAGTGAATTAAGGATAAATTAGTGTTTATGAAACGACACTGCAAGACACTGAAACATTCAGTAAAGACTGATCTGGTGAGGGAACAGCATTTTGATTTTGCTATTGCCATGACACTATGAACTCCTTTGGTAGTTTCAGATGTAGAAGTGGCAGTTGAGTCCTATATGATCAGTGCCCTGAGACACCCTTAATTTTTCAAAAATACCAATTTAGACTTTGACTTATTTATATCCATTAGTTGTAAGATTTACTACCCTCATCTATTAATCATGGAGTTACACCTCCTTAATATTGCTTTTTTAATATGGTAAACTTCAGTTTTGCTTGTAAGCTGATGGAACAGTGAAGCCTTTTTGTTGTAGTAGCCTCCATCATGTATAAATGATAAACTGAAGAGTAGTTCCTCGAATCAGCTGTAAAAAGAAGAGAATTGCTTTGAATAGGCATAACTGATTTGTTTTACTACCACCATGGAGGAAGAGAAAGTGTCCATGGAAAGAAAGAAAACTGGACATAGCTGATTTCTCTCTGTTTGTGCCTGTGCACAGATATATACATTTCAATTCCTGCCACAGAAGTTCTTTGTTTGAACTAACATAAAACCTGATTCACTTTTGTTGTTAAACTCTGACCGTGAGCAGTGTATTGAGTCCTTGAGACATCCTGCAGGACAGAGTGGGATGTATTTTGAAGCATATGGAACATGGGGATTTCGGCACTGCAGTTTAAATGGTGCTTATTGTACTCTTGGCTGCGTCCAAGGATAACTATTCCTCAAATATATGAGGTGTGGGCGTAAAGTGCTCCTCTCCTAATAAATAGAGTGGGGACTTTAGTTCTCTGGTTGCTTTTCAGCCGCAGCAGAGCAGTGCAGGGATTACTTCAGGGAAATCTGTGGCATTTCCCAGAAACCAGATCCTGCCAGTGCTCTTGTAAGTGACACATATTTGATAGCTAGAAATATATATGAACAGCACTTATTAAGCATAAGCAAATGTGATGAATTTAGATTACAGGCTATCATCCTGCTTCCTTCTCCCTTCCCAGTAATAATGCCCTCTCCATCAGCCTATTAAAAGTGACAACAAAACCCCCTGAATTTGTTTAGTCAGCAGGAGACTGTCAGGGCTGCTTCGCCTCAGAGAGGTGACTTGGCATAACTGAGCTTTAGGTACCTGATTCAAGAGGTTATCAATGCAGCCACCAAGGTCATTTTCATAATGCTAAAGCAGAGAAAGATGATCAAGAGTGGAATGATTGAACTGTTCCTCCCTGTGAATCATAGAATCATCAAGGTTGGAGGAGACCTCTATGATCATCAAGTCCAACTCTTAACCTGTCACTGCTGTAACACCTAAACCCTAAACAAAATCCTCCAGCACCAGGTCCAGATACCTCTTAAACACTTCCAGGGATGGTGACTCCACCACCTCCCTGGGCAATATTCCAGTGCCTGAACACCCTAACAGGGAAAAAAACCTTCCTAATATATGCAATATTTTTCCTAATATATATAATACCCAAGATATATAACACAGTATGTGCAATACACCTGTGGACAGGTGAACTGCAGGAGGAGCACAGCCCACCCATCCATCCCCCAGTCAGTTGGGTGTAATATTCTTGGTGTAAGATCAGTGATTATCAGTGTATTCGAAACCAGATGAGCTGGTTCTTCCCACACCTGTGCTTCTGTTGCAGCCAGCAGTGTTTTCATTCCCATACCTTTCCTCCAAACAAGCTGTTTTCTTAATCCTTGTTGGTGATGGTTTAGCCAGTTGACAACACACAGGAGAGATTAGGCTGTTTGCTTTATCTCTTAACAGTTCACACAAGGCAAGTTACAACTTTTTTTGTTGCTGTTTTCCAGGACCATCAGAATCATGGAGGGGCTGCTGCACTACATAAACCCAGCACATGCCATTTCCCTCCTGAGCACGCTGAACGAGGAGCGTCTCAAGGGACAGCTGTGTGACGTTGTGCTCATAGTAGGAGACCAGAAATTTCGAGCTCATAAGAATGTTCTGGCTGCCAGCAGCGAATACTTCCAGACTCTGTTCACAAACAAGGAGAATGAGGCCCAGTCAGTGTTTCAGCTTGACTTCTGTGAGCCAGATGCTTTTGATAATGTGCTGAACTACATTTATTCTTCGTCCTTGTTCATTGAGAAGGGCAGTCTCGCAGCTGTGCAAGAGCTGGGCTACAGTCTCGGAATATCCTTTCTTACAAACATTGTTTCCAAGAATCCCCAAGCTCCTTTCCCTGCTTGCCCTATTAAGAAAATACTGTACCAAGATGAAGATGAAAGTAGTTCTCAGAAGAGAAGTGTCATTGTCTGTCAGAACAGAACTGAAGCACAAGCGAAAAGTGTAAATCAAACCCAACATGACTTAAGCCATAGTTGTAAACCTTCTCCCTCTCTGGCTGTCAAAACTAGCAGCAGACCACAGGTAACAAAACCTACTGAAACCCTTCACAGTTTGTCACTGACTGAGAGGAGGTGGCTGAAAGAAAGCCCTGCGACCTACACAAAGGTTCACGAATCTTCTGGAAGTGTGGAGGATCAGAGCAGAGGTGGGTTAGGGAAAAGGAACACAGTACTGCCTCAGATGCCTTTAGCAGAGAAGGAAATTGCAGGTGATGAGCCAGGAAGCAGTGGTCAGCTGTTAAGAGGAAAGGCTGCAGAGATGTCATTGAAACGACCACGTCCACCAGTCTTGTCTCTGCGTGGGGCGTCGGAATCCACGTTCTTGCTGCGAGAGGCAGGAAAGGGGAACGGTCAAGGTGAAGACAGGAATTTGCTGTACTACTCAAAGTTAGGACTGGTAATCCCATCGAGTGGGTCTGGTCCAGAAAACCAAAGTATCGACAGAAGTGGGCCCCTTGTCAAAAGTCTTCTCCGAAGGTCACTGTCCATGGACAGCCAAGTTCCTATTTACTCACCCTCTGTTGACCTAAAACCAGCACAGGTATCATCCTCCTCCTCACCAGGAACTAATGATTCCCAGAAGACTTTTAATGTTATGTCTCAAAAGTCATCCTTGAAAGAGTCATCAGAGAAGTTAGTCTTGGATGAGAAACCACAGGTAATACACCCACATCGCCTTAGGTCTTTCAGTGCCTCTCAGACAACAGACAGGGAGGCTTCTCCCCTCTCGGAGGTGCGAATAAAAACTGAACCTAGCAGCCCACTCTCAGACCCTGCTGAAATCATCAGAGTTACAGTGGGTGATGCCTCAGCATCGACAAATAAAGACTTTGCTTTTAAAACAGAGGATGATCACAAGGAACCAAGTAGGCTCCCAGCCAAAAGGAGATTTCAGGATGATAGAAGACTACCATTTAAGAAACTGAAGATGGATGAGCAGGGCTCTCCTGGGTCAGAAGAGAACTTTGAGGAAGTCTCCAGCCCTACGCACCTTGATGCTGATTTTCCCGATTCTGATGTCAGCAAAGACGAATTCAGCGAGATGGAAGAAGCGAGACCAAATAAAAAGTTCAAATGCAAACACTGCCTTAAAATTTTCCGATCGACAGCAGGTCTTCATCGTCACGTCAACATGTATCATAATCCAGAGAAGCCCTATGCTTGTGACATATGCCACAAGAGGTTTCACACCAATTTCAAAGTGTGGACACACTGCCAGACACAGCACGGAATCGTGAAGAATCCCTCACCGGCTTCCAGTTCACACGCCCTACTGGATGAGAAATTCCAAAGGAAACTCATCGATATAGTGAGAGAGAGAGAGATTAAAAAGGCTCTGATCGTGAAACTGCGACGTGGCAAGCAGAGCTTCCAGGGACAGTCTGCTTCCCAGGCACAGCAGGTCATCAAAAGGAACTTGAGATCGAGAACCAAAGGAGCCTATATTTGTACCTACTGTGGGAAAGCTTATCGTTTCCTCTCGCAGTTTAAACAGCACATAAAAATGCACCCAGGGGAGAAACCGATTGCAGGGAATAAGGCTCCTAAGCAGAAGGATCACGCTCACATGGAAAGCCCAGCGGAAAACAAGGAGGTCTATCAGTGCCGTCTCTGCAACGCTAAACTCTCCTCGCTCATCGAGCAGGGGAACCACGAGCGGCTCTGTCGGAACGCCACCGTCTGCCCTTACTGCAGCCTTAGATTTTCCTCTCCAGAGCTGAAGCACGAGCACGAAAGCAAGTGTGAGTACAAGAAGCTCACCTGCCTCGAGTGCATGCGTACCTTCAAATCCTCCTTCAGCATTTGGCGCCACCAGGTTGAAGTTCACAATCAAAACACGATGGCTCCCGCAGAGAACTTCTCTTTACCCCTCATGGATCACAACGGAGAGATAACGAGCTCCTCGAGGTTGCCTCCGCAGCCAGAATCCAATAAAATGAACAATTTTGTGGCTGCTAAGGAGGATGGTGTATTCAGTGACTCGTCAGAACAGATCAACTTTGATTCTGAGGATTCCTCATGCCTACCTGAAGACTTGAGTGTTTCCAAGCAGTTTAAAATTCAGATCAAGGAAGAGCCTGCAGATGATATGGAGGATGAGGTCACCGAAACGAGCAGAGAGCCCAAGGACATGGTGTCCAACAAAGACACTGGTTTGTGGCCCTGTGAGAAGTGTGGGAAGATTTTCACCGTACGCAAACAGCTGGAGCGTCACCAGGAGCTCCTGTGCTCCGTGAAGCCATTTATCTGCCACGTCTGCAACAAGGCCTTCCGAACCAACTTCCGCCTGTGGAGTCACTTCCAGTCTCACATGTCACAGGCTGCAGAGGAGTCCACCAATAAAGAGCCTGAGATATGTCCACCAGCGAATTCCCCATCCCCACCACCCTTACCTCCGCCCCCTCCGCTCCCCAAAATCCAGCCCTTGGAGCCTGACAGTCCCACAGGCTTGGCTGAGAGCTCCAGTGCTCCTGAGAAATTGTTTGTGCCCCAGGAGTCAGACACTCTCTTCTATCACGCGCCGCCGCTCTCTGCAATCACTTTCAAAAGACAATACATGTGCAAACTCTGTCACAGGACTTTCAAGACAGCCTTTAGTCTCTGGAGCCATGAACAGACACACAATTAGCTTTAACAGAAACCTTTCCGAGCTGGTTCAGGGGGTCTGTGTTCAGGGTCTCAGATGTCTGCCACATAGACTAGGAATTTAAGAGGATCAAAATGGTGATGATGAAAAATCTAAAATTTTGATGCTGCTTGGATTTGAAAATTAGGGTTCGACTAACTTGGTTAGTAGGCAGAGAGAGCAGAATAATTTAAAATCCTATGGTCTGGGATCTAATAGTACCAGAACAAATTCTATTTCATGTGACACTGAAATACGATTGCATCTGGGTTGTGTGCATGGATCTTCACCATGTGATGTTGGTGTGTGTGTTATATATAGAGTTACACATTAAATGAAAGAGCAACAACAATTTGGATTCTAACCATGAGCTTATAGTAGTGAAATACCCTAACCAACTCCATGAGTTTTTTGTTTGTAAAACAGAAACCAACACACAAGCTCCATATAAATAGTTGCCGTGCACTTGCAGTTAGGGAGGAGGTGGATGGAGTGTCTTGCTGTATTGACTTAGGTCTTAGAAACCTTTAGCAATAACAAATAAACCTCAAGTTGGAGTAATCCTGATGTTATCGGATACGAACGTTTGCTCTTTTAAGGGAACACAGAATTGTTTTGCCGTTGTATGGAACTTGTGCAAATTAAAATAGAATCTAAAGTCAGCAATATTATTACTGAGATTTTCTATAAGGAGTAGCAGCAAGTCTGCTTTCAGCCATTTAATTGTACATTTCTAAGGAAAATTGAGAGGGAGGGGGTACTTTGCTTTATATAATGTCCCAAAGACTAATTTCCTATGGACACTTGGGTAGCTGAAGTCATTGTGTCACAGCCATCCTGATGCAAATGGTACTGTTTATGCCGTGGGCTGAGGTTGAATGGATGTCAGACAACTTTCATGGCTTTGTTTCCACTATTTGTACAACTGTTTGTAATTCTGACTGCAAAGGAATGTATCACTATCGAATCAAAAAAAAAAAAAAAGGAGAGAGAGCTCACTAAGGGACAGCAGATCAGTTGTGTTCCTAAACACAGTAACAAGCTTGGACAGGAGTACAAAGAAATGTTTTAACAAAACCTAAACATGTAAATATTTACATAGACACCTGTATAAATGAAGAAGTATGTATTTGAAGTTTGTATTAAGCCTACATATCCAGCTCGAAGCAGAGGAGAAAAATCACACTACAATCACTGCATTTTATGGCTACGATGCATAGAGTAGTTCTTTCTGCAGCTTTCTATCATATGTGATACTGTGTTGCAATTTTCCAATTTGCTGAACATTGTGGTAATAATGGGCTGCAGAGGTTCCATGTGGTCCCATTATTTTACCTCGACTCAAAACTGGAGCATTTAGTGTAAGTAGGATCATAGATATTTACCAGGAGCTATAGTAAGGGTCCAAAATTACTCCCTAAGTGCAAGAAATACTTACCCAGGAGCAGGAGGGGAACTAACAGTGAAAAATCCTTCTGATGGGATTTAAACCTAAAGGAGTGGTGCTGGATTAGAGTGTACATGGAGAGTATTTATGATCCTGACCAACTTTCCCCCTGCGGGTTGGGAGAGGGGGATGTGCCATTCCACACTGCTGACTCAGAGCCACCAGCACGAGTTTGGGCCCCAGTTCCACGGGGAGCAGGAGTGAGGCTTGAATTCTGTGTGACCATGGACCTAACTGGTTGTTTTCTGGTATCCCAAACTCAAAAGTAACAGTAATTTCAGGCTGACACTAAGATTCTGCAAAATGAAGCACAAGTGTAACTCCTGGGAATCTGAGGATGAGCATCCTTAGTCAGGCACACACAGGAGGAGACTTTTCTCAGTGAAAGCCAAGTGCCACCAATTTGTCCCAACAGATTTTTAGTTGTTTTTCCTGTGAGTTAAATTTAAAAGGATTAGCTCAGGATGGACCCTGACTTTTGTTCAGCTGCCAAAACAAATTGCAATGCCAGTTTCAAGCCTCTTCTGTTCCCTTTGTAACTGAAATTGTTACTAAACACTTCTAACAGAATCGTGTTGTCCTTTTTCGTCCTCTTTCAGGCAAATTGTAGCTGAGGACGATTAGGCTAATTTGCTCCAACATCAGTTAAACTCAGTGGCACTGCAGCCAGACAAGGTACTTGCTTAACAGTGACATTTCTAGTTACTTTTTTATTCCACCTAATGAGCCTAAATTTCTTTCTTACCAGAAACAATTTCAAAATGAAATAGTTATTGCACTTAACCTGGTTTTAAAAAAAATCAGAAAAAACCATAAAGCCTTGCTAGGTATATATATTTAAGAAATCTGTGCATATAGAATCTGGACATGCTTTTGTAAAGTGATTCCTATGTTTTTCCCAATGATTCATCTACACGAGAGTGTGAAAGTTTAGATGTAAAATCCAGTGTGCTTTCTACAGGATGATGGCAACTAGCTCAGCTAGGTCCTGGCCATCCTCTTCCAGCTGGGATTCTGCTCTGTGATACGACAATAAATCCTACACACTTTATATCAAAACCTTGTGCAACATCTCTGAAGAAACCTTGACCTTTTTCCTAGCAAACTAGGTATAAAAAAAAAATCCTTAAGATATTTTTGGTCTAAATAAGCCTCCTAAGTTTTTCTTCAGTTGTTTTGCAGCTGGTTTTCTTTTTTTTGGGGGGGGTTAAAGTTTTGTTTTCAACTCTGAGCGTGTTCTGTGTGGGGTTTGTTTCTTTTTTAACTTGGTTCCTGTTGTTTAGTAAAGGAATTCAGGATCTCTCAAATTTAAATGAGATGTTTATATAGCAGTTCTGGTTTTCTATTAGCTTTTATACAGTACCTGAAAAAAAAGCCCTTGATAGAAGTGTTTATTTTGGAGGATAAGGAATAAATATGCTTCCACTTATATAACTTTAATATATGTTTTAAAAGTTAAATTATGGAGAAAAAGAAAATGTTAGTTGCTTGTTTATAAATAAAAGTCTTTTGAAGAGTGTCTAGTTTGGCCACAGCCAAAATAAAAGGCAGATTTATTGATACAAAAGCCTGTCTTCATCCTATTTTGTTTCATTTTCTAGCTGTGCACTGAGGTGACACAAAGGTAGAAGTCTTGTTAAATAACGAAAAGTGGGTTTGCTTTTTTTTCCTAAGGTTTGTGACAGGAATGTGCAGATGTTTTAATATATATTAGAATCTATAATTCTTCCTTCTTTTTTTTTTTTTTTTTGCTATTTTTATAATCTGTCAGATAAATCTCAGAGAACTATCCTGCTCCAGGGGAAGTGGAGTGGAAACTTGGGTTGCATTTCAGAGGAGCAGGGTTGAGCCATGAAGTGGATTTTGCTTTGGGATTTTTCCTCCTTTCAGGCACTGTGTTGACAAAGCCTCTAAGCCTATGCTTAAGTTCCATTAAGATCAGTCTTAAGGAGTTTTTTGGCATTCTTAAGTTCTTTGCTGATTTGGGACCACGACCAACCTCGAAAAGGAGCCGTGGCAGCAAAATACAGGCAGATACTTTGGTTGAAGTCCTAGAACCTGAAGTTAAAATGAGTTTTCCTCTCCATAAAACCTGCACCTGCAGCTGAGGTACAGCTCTGGAGCTGTACAAAAACGCAGGATGGGAACCAGTCATAATTCTGTCTATAGTTTGGGGTTGTTTTGGTCAAGGGAAGTGAAACACCCTGCGACAGGCAACTGAGGAGATAATCAGGTGTATCAAAGTGACACTAGAGTGTGTCTGGGCTCTTTCAGAACTGAGATAAAGCCTTATCTGTGACCCCAAACAGCTGTAAGAGGCTTGTGCTGAATTCCCTGTTCAGGCAGGAACATCCAGGAGATTTTTTTTTGCCTGAAGTTAGTTTGTTTTCCCCCAAGTAGGACATGCGGGTTTGGTCCGAAGCTCTCTGTGTACTCTGTTTCCTTTCCAAGCTTCCAGTGTTAAAACTAGAAGTTCCTCACGTGGGATAAGGACAGACTATGCCTATTTTCTTGGCTCTAACAGTGAGGGTGCAAATATCTGGCATGAGCCTGTAATGTGGCGTGTGCCTATACTGTTCAATAAAACTGTTTACATTTTCCTACCAGAAGATTTAGATTAAAAAATCAAAAAGAGCTTAGGGATTTGTTTTTTATTTGGGTTTTATTTCGTTTGGTTTTGGTGTTGCTATTAATGAACCAGTGTTAAAATCTCTTTCTGTTGTTGTTGAACACAGCCTGAGAGTATTTTTAATGTCATGGATTCTTGTTTATTTAAGATGACTTGTGACAAACTGTACTGTAGCTGTTGGACAGAAAGGGACACTATCAAGAGAAAGGTTGTGTACAAGAGAATGGATTTATACAGAAAATGGACTTACCTGTATTAAAAATACTTGATATTAATAAAAATCAAAGAGTTTGAAAACATGAATTGAGTCATAACACTTGAGCTGCTTGGGCATGGAAATGCCTGTTCAGGGCAAACTCAGTGGTTGCAAGGATGTCTGAAAAACCTATCTGAATTCTGTGGGTTGAGCTGATTTTTCATGTTGCTTTTTCTCTCAGTGTTCCAGAATAAAGGACTCAATCCATTTTTTCCTTTCCCAGTTTCTCAACAACGCACATCACCTTTGAAAAACACAAACTTCCCATTACTGCCCAGGGATGTGGTGGCTGCTCCAACCCTGGTGGTGTTCCAGGCCAGGCTGGATGAGCCTTGAGCAACCTGATCTAGTGAGGAGGTGTCCCTGCCCAGGGCAGGGGATTGGGACTAGATGATCTGTAAGGTCCATTCCAACCGTTAGTTCTATAATTTTCCTGCAGCAGCATCTGTAACTCAAATATGTACATGAAACCAGAACAAACTTTTGCAATGGAACATGCCAAATGCACACGAAGTACATCTTTTAAGGCTCATTCTTGACAGTGTCCCTTTTTAAAAAGCAAGAAAATGGGATCACTTGTAGTGCTTGGGTACAGGGGGATAGTCTCCTACAGTTTCCAGAAACTGGAATTAGCCAATGTATTTGCTAGAGAATTTTTCCAGTCAGTTACA